CATAGCGCGAAACCCGGCTGTCTGAGAAAAAGCATATTCTTATGAATACACAGCTAAGTGTGAATTGACGGCATGGCGCATTCTGGTCGGCAGGGGCGGGCTTAAATAGTTTGGATCTGAGTATAGCTCTTACATTGTCCCAAGGAAAACTTGCCGGTAATCTGTTTATTGATGAGGTTTGGACAGAGATTTTTCAGGATTCAGTTTTTTAAAATCTAACTTTCACCTCGCGTCCGTTATGGTTATTTAATGCGTCATAATGAGCTGAACTGTTTCGCATAAGCACTATTTTAAAATAAACGACCTAGATGGGTTAAGAGTGCGTGAAAGAACAGCCTCCGAAAGGGCATTATAGATTTATTATTATTATCTGTCTGAATTTTTCGGTTTTCAGAACCGTCCACTATGTCATCTCCGGCAATTGGCGGTGGCAGCGGTTCCATCGGCAGCGACGAGAAGCTTGAAAAATGCCCATTATGCGAACGGCGTATGCCAGCCTCGAATCTTACCTCCCATATCCAAAATGAACATACCGGAGGTGGTGGGATGTCGATGACCCAGGCCCCACCGGCATCGCCCACGTTGGAATGCAAATTCTGCCCAACAACGTTCAAAGATCAAATGGAACTGCATCTTCATCAAATTAATCAACATACCGTCGAATTGTTGCAACAATCACAGCACACCGACACCGCAAAAAGTAAGTGGGCGGGTGTTCTCCTCTTCGAAAAAGATCCTCTGCAGAAAAATTATGAATTTCGATGATATTCGTGTTTTTAGAATCATCTGAGACGCCCACAGCAGTGCTACGATGTCGACGATGTCAGTATTCGACTCGTGACTCAAGGAACTTGGAGATGCACGTGGAACGGCACGAACGAATGAACGAAGCAACACGGGAATCCGGTACTGACCTCACCAGCGACGCAGCTCTTCGAGCGACCACCGAAGCGGCTTTGAAGATGATGGTGGCTAATCAGGTTGGTGATATATGGAAGAATCGAGTCCATTGCTCTCATATTGGGGATGACGTGGTCTCGTTTACTTGTCTTTGATGGAATATTGCATTAGTCCTAATCCATCCGAAAGGGGACAAGGTGTTGCGCGCTTGGTTCTGGCAGTCTTTACCTTCATCCAGCGCCTTCAAAAGAAGACGACAAGTTGTAATGCTTTTGAAAGATTTACTAGTTGAATTGGTCTCCAGAATAACGCCAGTATAACATGGTTCCCAGGGATTCGAGGGGATACTTTGGGTAAATGTTACCGTAACTATTCCAATTTCACAGCGTAAACTTACATCTGTCAAATTCATAGGTTTCTGCACAAGGGGAACAGGTCATGAAAAGTATTGAGCCTTACATGGAAAAACTGTAGTTTATTCCAGGCAAATATCCCTTTTTGGGTATTGAGCGCTGTGAAAAGCAGTAGGTAGTTCAAAGCAAACCTACCATTTATCAGGGGTTTCACTGTTCGAAGGACCCCATCGTGTAGAGCATTCATTGCTTGTCGCACTCGAAGGATTCTGTTGTTTTAGAATGTTCCTTTCTCTCTTACATTCATTTGATGGCTTGAATCGGTTCATTTTTAGCTCGATACGGATACTGTGAAATGCTCTTTGTGTGACGCCAGATGTCCGGATGAGGCTACTCTCGAGGCTCATGCGGCCGTTGCTCACAATGGTTTGAATTTGACAGTTAGGAAGGAGAAGAAGGAGGAAAATGATGTCGAAACGGAAAAAATCGCCAACGAGCGAAATAGTCACACGGTTAGTTAGAAACTTATATCTTTTCCAAGGTGTACTGTATGGGTGAGCGGTTTTGAGACATAATCGACTTATTTCAGAGCGGCTCAATGTCACCGTCAGGCGAATCGCTGCCTGAAGGCTTTGGCAAGCCGGACAGTGGATCATGCGATGAGAAGCATGTGATGCAGTCGTTCGTACTGCGTTGTACAGCGGATGCATCGGGCGCATTCCTGTCGGAGATGATCGCCCATCTGCCCGTCCGAACGCTACTCTCACAACCGACGCGGGTCTCATTCGAGTTGGTACCACATCAGGTATCCGGCGACTCGAATCCGTTCTAAAATGCTGCTGGTGGCGTACTCAGAGAAACCTCACATCACATCACGTCTAGAGTCTTCCAGAGATCTTTCGGCCCCTTATCCTCCTCACCCCTTTCCCCGCCAAGGCGCGTGCAATAGGGCTGTGTCCCTCCTACCTGAAACGAGTATCTTCCCAGAAATCCTCATACTGATTGATTTTAATTGATTGATTGATTGATTGATTTTATCCATATCTATCCCGTTTCGTCGTCGTCGTCGTTGTCGTTAGTGTGTGTGTCACTCTCTCATGCGCTCTGTCGTGCTTACTATGTATGGTGCTTTGTTGTTGTTGTTGTTGTCTAGAAAAAGAGGTGTTGTTCTGTGTATCTGGCATTTTCATGGCAGATACTGTAATGACCTGTATATTTGTTTTATATGTAGACGACGCCGAGCCATAGCATGTGTCCAAGTAGGTTTCATGGCCAAAGAACGTTCCTTTCGTCGTATCCTTTTTTTTTCAAAATAGGTAATTGCTAGTAATACTAACGAGAATGAGTGAGCGAGAGAGAAAGCCATAAATTCCTTCTTTCTTGTCCCTTGTCGAGCAGATCCTGCCATAAGTGGTGTTTATAGTGCGCGTTGTGTAATCGTATCATCAAATTTAACCTCAACTAGTTATCATTGTCAGTTGATGTCATTAAGTAAGAGACGTGTTAGGAATAGATAGCATATCCTTTGTGCACCACTCGTTATTCCCCATTTAGAAAAGGTGCCAGGTTTACAGAATGATCTTAGATTAAGCCTCCACTACACTGAAGCGAACCTTGCCCCTCCCTCATGTCGACTCCGCCCTATCCCCCAAGGATGGCCGCTGCCCCGCCCCTCATCATCATCGTTTGTTTTGGCCAGAATTATGCGTTTGTCCCCATTCTCACCATGTCTCCTCTTCCTCTATCTCGTCCTCCTCGTTCTTATCGTCCTTTCCGCATATATAGCTTTGCGTTGTCGCTGTACTCCTCTCTCCCCACTTCAACGTGGTTTCGCTTATTTATTGATTTATTGATTGATTTCTGTGTTCCTGTGTAGATATTTTTTTTTAAAGATTGGCTCGCAAAATGTTACAATGTCACGCTCGTTCTAAGACAACCCTTATCATAATTGTCACCATTTCTCTAATCAGGATATCAAAAAAGTAAATGGCGTGCGATTCCTCCCCTAGCGCACGCTCCGCCCATCTGTCCACCCAGGCAGAGCCTATTTGATGATGCTTCTTTACTCATCGTTTCAACACCGAAATGTGTCTGTCTTGACTCCATTCATAGCGTGGCTATTTATTTTTTACGTATATTTGTAATGTTTTTATGTCAATATTACAATAAATTGTCTATTGGACTAGCTGTTCAGTACAGTAGCAGAAGTATTGTTGGCGTAGTTTCGCCTGACGTACTGGAGGTCTAAAATATTGCGGGTTGAGAATGAATTCCGATTGGATGTTTCAGGTTTGACGCCTATAAAATGTACGCGAGTTCCATCTCTGCAGACTTTTTGAGCAGCTGCCCGGAGTAGCTGGTTCCCACAGATTTTTGAAGCTCTTCCCTATGTAGCCGACATAGATTTGAATGTCTCCGGATTGTTCAGCTAGTGATGGAAGGAGTCCACAGCTTAATTGAACAAACTCGTGCTAACCCAGTAAGTCAATTGATTCGTGAACTCTGCCCACGTATATTCCCGTTACCAAGACCTATGGCTATTGGAAAATAGAGTTTAGTAGTAGTTTTCAATACCGTTTATCGCTAATCGATTCCATTTCTGGGGTGCGCCCAGCATTAAACGGTCGGTCACTCAGAATTAAGAAGCCTTTTAAAAGCTTTTGTAGCTCAAACAGTGACACCTCTGGCCAGCGGAAGTGCAAGTTGGTGTCTCCATTCCCCCAGGCTGATTGACGTGAATGTGAATGATGAACCGATACCGAGAAAGATGAAAGGCTCGGTTGATATAACCCCTAAATTGGAGTGTGGTGCAGTTGGTCTAAGTTGTCGCGTCGCGGCGAGAGGCACGCCGCTCGCGAAGGAGTGCAGCAGAATGCAGCAACAGGCAAGAAAAATAGAATCAAAGGAACTAGCCGTAGAATCATTCCTAGAATAAAGATCGCATATCATTTAAGCTGCACGAAGAACGGTTAAGCAGTCATAACGGCTAAGCGAATGGTTCGCGACAGCCGCGTGCGGCGAATCGATTACATGAAACCGATCCTATTGCCCGTCTCCTTATGCGCCACTTAACATCAAACCAAATTTGCCCGATTATGAACTAGATTTTTAGGTAATCGTGCACCGTAGCGGCATCAACTCTTACTCTTTCATGACCTTTCTTTTCTCCTGGAGTGCATACCTACTGAAAACGCTTTGGAGCAAAGTTGTAACAGACATCCGACAATTGATCGTGTCGAAACGAGGCGACGTTATTCTGACAAGTATTCGGGAAATTTTTGTAGAGAATGGCCGTCTGCAGGCCAGACGATAAAACTTTGATTTGCTGCGATTATCCTCGAAAATTGGTGACAATCACTAAACAGGCAGAACGACGGGAACGACTAGATTGAATGGCGATATAGTCTGTTCTCGACGTCTCCGTGAAATGCCGATTAGCGATCTTGAAAAGGTGATGCCGTTCTCTCCCTATTTCAATGTTTTTCATCACTGAAATATCTACTTACTATTATTTCGGACGAGTTTCGAAAAAATGTAGTGGGGAGTACCGCCCTTTCCCGCGCTGTATTGAATTTATTGTTTTTTTTACACTGCAGACTTTATGTTCCTATTGGCATACGACAAGAGCTGATTGTACGTTTGTGATCTGGTAGGATTATACTGGATTTTATCCTTCAGAAATGGACCGGTATGAATTTTGATATCGCTGCCGAGGAAATGCGACGGCTGAAGAAGGAACCTACTGACGAGGAGAAGCTTATTCTCTATGGGCTGTATAAGCAAAGCATTCACGGCGACATCCCGCCAAAGGATATTTACGGTATGTACACGCGAAAAGGCCTATCGTCATTCGTGAAGTAAGTAAATGAACAAATTTCTGAGTACCCAAAATGGTAGCCACATAGTTACCTTGGAAATATGCAATAATCGAGGACTAATAACATAGATGAAGGATTGGGCCTCCTGCTGAACGCGTCAACGCCTAGGAGAAGGGAGAACCACCAGAGGAAATAATTCTACGGAGATGGACTTCAAGCTGACCATTTCGCTGCCGTGGGTCAGATTAGTGACGGTGGAGCAGAAAATTGATTGAGNTCATTCGTGAAGTAAGTAAATGAACAAATTTCTGAGTACCCAAAATGGTAGTCACATAGTTACCTTGGAAATATGCAATAATCGAGGACTAATAACATAGATGAATGACTGGGCCTCCTGCTGAACGCCTCAACGCCTAGGAGAAGGGAGGATCACCAGAGGAATTAATTCTACGGAGATGGACTTCAAGCTGACCATTTCGCTGCCGTGGGTCAGATTAGTGACGGTGGAGCAGAAAATTGATTGAGTATTTCGCACAGTTATGCGAAGAATTGCCAGCATTTGGCGAGACATGAGCTTTCACGATTACTCCTCATCGGGAGTCCGCGTTCTGAATACCGAATGATATGTGTTAGAATGCTTCGCTGTGACTAAGCTGATCTGTTACTCATGTCGAAGAAGAACGATTAGGCCCGTAACCCTAAAAGTCCCTCAACCCGCCGCGCCGTTGGGCAGTATAGAATCACCGTTTTCAGTTGGCATTGAGAGTATGTTCACTCGTGCAGGGGAGTTCTTGATGGGAGGAGCGAAGATAGTTGCTACCCATGAGAGCAAGCCGGTAGTCCAGCCAGTTGCACCTCAGAGCTCTTTCTTTCGATAGGCGCTTTATGTGCTCCACTTAAGGCTTTCTTATGACAGGCTTCAGCGAAAGCATAATGGAAGAAAAGCCACTTTTATAAGAACGAACTTGTTGATACTTCATTGGTCATTTCCCATCGTTTATATTTCAGAGAAACCAAAAGATGATGAGGTCGCTCTGAGAAAATACGAAGCATGGGCTGCGAGAAAAGGTGAATTCAGCCTATTCAGTTGAGGTTTCAGGAATTCTCCTGAAATGCATGCTTTAAGGCCAGCACGTGCATAGCGCTCGTGAAGAATACGTTCGTTTTGCCGAGAAAATGATCCAGAAGTATCACAGACATATCTATCGTTGCAAATGGAACAGTGAAGTATGGTCGGTGGATTATTGATCGACACCTGCTCTACGAATCTTGCGCTTATCGATTTTCCTGTTTGATGTGTGCTGTTGCCTTTAGATTCTTGATTTGTTAACATCATTTCATTCTAAAAAGAGCTCGATATCGACTAACAAATAGAACGTATCGAACCCAGTGATGCGACGATTTGTACATCTTTTCCTGTATTCCAGACGATGCTTCAGATAAATTTACCATAAAGTACAATTGAATCGCCCCTTTGTCTATCCAAATATTGCAACATGTCGTGATGTCAATGTTTTTTCCCAGATGTGACCATGTAGATTGGAATTAATGGATTTTTCTAAAAATGGTCATGGAGTCGTCATAGAAAGTTTTTCATTTAGTTATTCTTTATGGACTCATGATTTGTTGAAACTGCAAAAGAGCCGGTCCTTTACTTACCGGGACTTCTCAGAAAACCTGAGAAAAAAACTAAGCCATAACACTTTGAGACATCTTTTGAGCCACTAGCTCTACATCTCTGAATGTTCTAAATGGTGTGTTGTACCTCAAATGTGGCAAGCACTGTAAGGGTGACACCCTTCTCAAATGTTTCCCAAACGAATGGTCATCTTCCATCCACTTCTCTTAAAGATGGCCCAATAATCACCTTATCCCGATACCTATCGTCTTCTCTGATCCCTGTTGTTCCTCTAATCCACTATTAGAAGCCAAATCGACCGGATACGATAGGCAACCGGCTCGAATACATCCAATGCAATTACGGCGAACTCACTATCTTTAGCAACTAACTCTTCGCATGTTATGCGTAACAACTCCACTTTACCAGCGTCCGGTGTTACTCGCACTCACAGAAGAGTCCGGCCAATACTCGAAAGATTTCTCGGAAATATTCAGTTATCCACTAAGGTTGAAGAGATCTGTAAATGGATTAGATAACTGGAAGGTCGCCTTCAGAGTCGGTACGGGCTCAGATTGAGGATCCCACCCACTGCAGACAGGCCCGTCACAATTTTTCTTTTCTCTGTGCTCCCTCACTGGATGAGTGACTCCAACAGCTCTACAGGGACAAATACGATGCAAACTGTCATGGAATATCGGCCCACTGACCGTTTGTCAGTGGGTGAGCGCCTGCCGATGTTACCCAGATGAAAAGTAGGGTTCCATGTACCATGGAGAAAATGATTGAAAAGAGAGGAAATAGATGAGAAATTATTTCGGGGAGTAGATCAAAAGTTGGTGAAGAGCGGGAGAGACGACGGAATTGTCTCAAACTTGAGTTAATACCCTTCAATTGATTTTTGAAAAAAAAA